GGAAAAAAGACAGAAAACCGAAAAGAAAAAAGAAAGGAAGAAAAATAAACAAAAAGAAAAAAACACAATCAGACAAAAAAACGAAAGTTAGAAAAAAAGAAATGAAACAGATAAAGAACAAAGCCTTAAAAGAGGAGAAAAAAATAATCAAATAAAAAAAAAACAAGGGAAAACCAAACGTATCGTTTTATATTGAGGCTACCCAACCAGTTTCCAAGTTTTTCAAAATGGCTGAACATTTAATATAAAGAATCAACACTTTCTGACCAGCAGAAGCTGAAAAGTGGAAGGCAATGTATGGTGGAAGAAGAGAAAAAAAGAGAAAGAAGAAAAGTACAGAAAAGAAAAACAGTGTTGTTAAAACAGAAGATAGGAAACAAGATGAAAAAGAAAAGAATTGAAAAGAGAATTTACGTGGCAATGTTGAAAAAGAGAAGAGGAAAGAAAAGTACGAAAAACATGGAGTCGAAGAAAAATAAAAAAAAATGAAAAGAAGAAGGAAAAGAGAAGAAATGGATAAAAAAAAGAAAAAAACATTACAATGAAATAGTGGATTTGTTGCATAGTATTTGTGAGTTCAATCTCTGGACCAGGCAGTGCAGAGTTGGAATCGATGGCCCTTCTTTCATTAGTTTTTCGATTCTGACTTCTTTAATCGGTCATCATTGGGGTCAAATCAAAGATAATACCGGATAATAGATATCACTTTAAAACTACTCTTGCCAGCTCATTCCACATATATTGCTATGTTATCAAGGTTAGAGTAATGCTTAAAAGAGGAAATAAAACCATTAAAATGCGCCCCAAAAGTCTTTTATTTCATTCAATCAGTCAGTTGTGTGTCATGCGTGACACTCGCGTAGGCGATCATATATCTTTCGATACATCACTGACGAGGCTGATTTTTTCCCGATTTTTTTGATAATCACTGAGAAGGACAAAATAAGAACAAGAAGAGATATTCCTATACGACGTTCAATAAAGTGTTAATTTTGAAATTCTCTGAATGGTAGCCAGATCGTCAGACACCTGAAGAAGGCTGGAGAACACAACAGCCGAAGCATGATGATAACAAGGATGAGAACATTAATCTTCTAAAGCGTCTACCGTAAACATTAAACTTAACTCCAAAACAAAGGATTTGCGGCTATACGTTTATATCAACTTTTGTCCTTGTTTTGCAGTGAGGACCCCCCTCCAAAATGGGCCAAAGTAATTTCTAATTAGTATATTGGATTGTATACTGTCTCTATCTGCATATATATATATATATATATATATATATATGTGTGTGTGTGTGTCTTTGTGTCTGTGTGTGTATATATATATGTCTATGTGTGTCTGTGTGTGTCTGTGCGTATACACACACACACATATACATATATATATGTGTGTGTGTGTGTGTGTGTGTACATATATATATATATATATATATATATATATACCGGGTGTAACTGCAAATTTGTCCAATTGTTAGATTAAGCTCTGGAATGTTGTAGCTCAGAAATTATTAAAGATATCTTTCTCAGAGGTTTTATAATAGTATTGGAGTCTATTCTGAACAATAAGGATCTACAATTATTCTATAAGCATAACATGATTAAATCGAATATAAACGAAACATGACATGTTCATCATTAATTAATCATAGCTAAGGATCGGAAACTCATGAAGAATTGACATAAAGTTCAAATATATATATATATATATATATATATATATAAAGAAGGAAAGAATAGTAAGATATATAATCCGATGTTCTTGCTATTTTTTATTTTTTTTTACAAAACAGCGCATAAATATTAAAAATTAATTGATTTAAAATATTGTTTTTTCGCTACACAGTAATAACCATGTTTCAAAAATGGAAGCTAAGAACTTTAAATGTAATTATATACTTAAATTAAAAGCATTAGTTCCGTTTCATCTTCAAGCGAATATTGGAATAACTTATTTTTAAATTTACTGAGTTTTAAGCGAACATATAAATTCATAATTTACTGTTTGCAAGGATACAGGAGCATGCAATCATTCAGACAGGGGCTGTACCGTGTTCATTTTTATTAATATTGTTGTATCAATTGTGAGTTACGTTCGAAAAAGAGGTTAAGTTTAGGGAGGGTAGGGGTGTATTTTTCAAAGAATTCTGACATCCGTTAAATGCATGTCGTCTGGTTTTTTGGGGTTTTTTTTTTATTAACGGCAAAAAGTTTTTCGGCATTTTTTCTTCTCTCATTAGAGATTCTTTTTTAGGTGTGTTTGCAGTAGAATACGTTTGTTTAAACTACAATTTTAAAATAGTTTTACTCTTAATTACTAATAGACTATATTTCTTTTAAAAAAACAAGTAAATGTAATAGAATTATTTAATTATTATTTAAAATTATTTTTTCATATCAGATATAACAATGTATATTACAAGTTCCCATTTTTTAATTTTATTTTTAAATATTATTGAAGGAAAATTTTTGACAATGACAGCAAAAAATAGCTATTTCATTTCTCTGATTCAGTAAATTTTTATTTTTTATAAACTTAGTAATATATAGTTTCTCATGTATGCACAAAGGACATGGCCTACATATTCTAGCTTTTCTTATTAATTTCCATTTACTGTAGGTGTTTTATTTGTTTGTTTTTTTTTAAGTGCCAGAAATACTTTGAAAGCGATGTCTGATTTCTGTATCTATTTATCCTAAATGAAGTTTGATGTTGATTGATATATATATTCCAGGATCATTTTCGCCCTCTGTAAACTTCTTTCTGTTCTGGAGTAACAAGGTGTCTCACATGTTTACCCTACGATTCATTTTCAAGTTTTTGGGGGTTTTTTTTTCACTGCTCTTTGGACTGTCATAGCTGAAACTCCTCTCTCAAGTGTCAAACGTCTTATGAATTGAAATGGATCTTTTCTAATTGGTCTCTTTAGCTCTAAGTTGAAATGATGAGCCCTCTCCCGATTATGACCCCTTGATTCAGCTTTCCTCTCTACTGTTCCTTCTTTTTAAAACTTATTCACCGTTCCCTTGATAGTTCTTGAATGGACTTTAAAGATGGAAGCCAGAGTATGAATGTTGGTACCATTACTGATGACCTGAATGATCTTTTTCCTCTCACCATTGCTCAGTTAGGACTGACACAAAAAAATTTAACCGGCTCTCTTTTTAGCTGAATAAGGGTTAATCAGTGATTCTTAAGACAAAGGGTGAAACGATGGCTAAACGTCTTATCTGAAAACCGAGAAATAAGAAACTCATTTAGTTTAGTGTTTTTATTTTTCAATATTAAAAATTTTGTTGGATGGATAATTATTCTGTTACATGATTTGCACAATTTTGATGTTAGACTCGTTATATATATATTCGAGAATAAAGTAACATCTTTTTTTTCTTTTTTTTTAAGCGTTTCAACCCAAGCAAGGTGGAAAGCAAGGGGTTACAGAAAATTTCAAGCAAGATCAGATAGGAGTGATAGAAGAAAGGATGAGGAGAAGGGTTGTGGATAGATCAAGGCAACTGGAGATGTCGATTGACATTACATTTGAATAGTTGGAGATTATAGCTCTCAGGGAAACTGGAATATGGGAGTTCCACAGGCGAGAGGTGCGAGACATGAACCTATTGGAGTAGAAGAGACGGCTACATTTAGGAGTATCGACAGTGAAGGGGTGAGAGCGGGATGCCAGCCTCGTAGGGCGCTTGAATTCATGAAGTCTGGGAACCAGCAAATGCAGCTCCTCGGAGCAATTGCCAAACAGACAGAGAGAGGCGACGGTGCGTCTGTGAGAAAGTGATTGTAGACGAGATGCCAGATCAGGGCCAATTATATTGCATATCCGCCTCTGCAGCCTATCAAGAACCCCGAGGCAAACAGAAGGGGCTTTAGACCATATATGGCAGCAATACTCCATGCAAGGGCGAATTTTTCATTTGTAGATCTGGAGGATCGATTCCGGGGAGAAAAATTTCCTGGCGCGGCACAGGGAGCCAACTTTCCTTGCGGTGGACGAAGCAACTGACTCAATGAATTTATTCCATCTCAAGTCAGCCGTCAACGTGAGACCGAGGAGCCGCAGAGAGTTGCTCTCGAGAAGTTGAGTGTCAGACCTACCCCTACCCAAGGATTTTGTCAGGAAGAGCCAACTAACCAATAGTTCTGGCTCTGCTATTGCTGAGCATATTATAAATAGTAGGAAATGTGTGGTTAATTTTAGTTCGGGCCGTTTTTTGATTTTATCTACATTTCACCTCAAGATTCTAGAGTCCTTGTATATCAGATCCCGTGGCCCTTCCCTTTCTAAACAGGGGGAATGCTTACTGGGTCTGAATGTTACTGAACTCTAGTTTCTTGAAATTCATTTTTTCCTTGCCATTCCATTCGTTAATTTAATTTACACACTTTTATAAATTTTCTATTTCCAGAAAAATAAACTGGGACGAAAACGGTTGTTTTTTGGTTTTTTTTTTATTTTGCTTTTTCTTTTAAAAAATACCTTATAAAATTGATTTTTCCTAGCTATTATTAAATTCTGTACCACAAAAAATATATATATATATATATATATATATATATATATATATATATATATATATATATATATATATATATGAACTTTCCTGTCGTATTCGAAGTATGAGGGTCAAACAGCTCAGTACCTAGGAAACGACAGCCCAGACACCAGCACATATGACTTGATTATAGTGGCAAAGGCTTTGTGCAGAACCAACCACACTTTTTGAAGGACCAAATACAGAGACCTGGTTTATTACGTTCCATAAGGTCCTCAAAGGACCCTCTGCATGTTTTTAATTCAGAGTTGTCCTTCTCCAAGACTCATTGACATTCAAAACTATAGAATCTAGTCTATCCTGCTATTTACCCATATATATATCTATATATATATGTATGTGTGTGTGTGTGTGTTACTCCTGAATGATAATTCACAACATTTAGCGCACTTTAATAATTACGATGATAGACGTTTCCTCTCATATCATATTATGATCAATTCGTGTAATTTAATATGTTATAGTTATGTTAGAGGAAGTCTTTTAAGAACAAATTCCTTCTCGTCCTACTCAATGGAATTTCTGGTGGAGTTTCTGGGGAATCGGTATCAAGCTGAAAGAACGGTTCTTGTCCAGTCACCGAAATTAAGCAAGGTTGAGCCTGGTCAGTAATCAGACGAGTGACCATGGACGATTAGCAGGTGAGTTGGCATGTCTCTAGTCGAAAAAGAGATATGAATTCAAAACCATGGAGAAGACAACAGGAAACCACTCCACTATATTTCCCAAGAAATCTTGCCAATGCACAGGTAATAAATAAAAGGAAACTGTGGAGTGCTATGATCTCCTACGTCTTGAACGCACATTAATTTTCTTTTTTATAATTTTATACTCATGTTGTTTTACGAAAATAACTGGAGATATCATTAATACTAAACGTAAAATTCGATATTAATAATTAGGTTTGGTTTCTTTTGTTTTAGGACATATCAACCACAATGGGTTATTTAATGCTGATAAGATCTTTATTGCTGGTTATATTTTTTATCTATCTATCTATCTATCTATCTATCTATCTATCTATCTATCTATCTCAGTATATACTGGTTTGGTTTGTTTCGTTTTACGGCATATCAACCTCAATGGGTTATTTAATACCGAAAACTTTTTATTACTGGTAATATTTTGTTTGGTCAAAATCTATTTCTGGTAATATTTTTCCTTCAAAAATGTATTGCTGGTAATATTTTTTCCCCAAAAATGTATAATTCGTATTTTTTCTTCAAAAACATTGTTGGAAATTTTTTTTTCTTTCAAAAATCTATAGCTTGTAATGATTTTTTTACAAAATATTTCTGGTAATAAAAACCTATTTTTTCACTTTCATAGTGCTTTTACCCCTGTTTCGGTGTTAAGTATTTTACCCATATCTGGGACCGTAACTGGTGCTCCCAACCCGGTTCAGAGTGGACCTGGGAACACCAGCAACTAAGAGGTGGTTCCACGCTCCTCAAAACCTCCTGATCAGAGACCTTGCTGCTGGACGTAGTTTATCGTCTTATCCAGGATGGTCAGAACTGATAGAAAGATATTAATAATTTGTTTCTTTCAAAAATTACGGGATGTGTGGGTGATGTAATCGATAGTGGCTCTGAATTCGAAATTGGAGAGCCGAGTTCGAGTTCTAGTCGGGTTTGTTACGTTCACTTACGCACAAATGATTTTAAGGAAGGTATAGATCCATTTTTTCCCCTAGCTAAGTCTCAAATCGTAAGATTTCTACTTTGAAAAGCCATTGCTATTCTCAAAATAACTGTTGCAATATTCGCTCGCAAAAAGATAAAGAATTATTTTAACAATCAAAAAAAAATATTAAGTAACCGACAAAGAGTTGACAAACCGTAAAAATATCACACAATCCCCTTTTTTTATACATCAGAATCGTAGGTGAACCACATTTCGTGTAGCCGCAGTAGAAGTGGTGTGTCGGGCAAGATAGTCTGAGGAACCCAACCCTCTCCGGGCTGGTTTGAATTTCAAGTTTTCCTTCTCATATACCGGTTACTACAAAAGCTACATAATCCAATCTTTCCTGGTAAGTAATCAAACGTGTGTTTATCCTGAACTGCAGAGTGGGAAAGTGGTGGATTCATACCTTCCCAGGGGTATTAGAATGAACTCGACTGGAATTCGAACTCAGCCCACCGATTCCTCAATTCGTGCCGCTGTCCATTATCCTCATCATACCAGAAGATTTTAAGTCATACCTTTGCAACAGCATTAGAACGTAAGAGAATGCAATGGTGTCGACCTGAATTCGAACTCGACACTCCAATTCATCAATCCTAGGCGTATTCCAATATTTCATTGTTCCTCTTCAGGCCAGAACAGTTGGATTCATGCCTTTGCAACGGCATTAGCACGTAATGATGTTAACCGAAATTCGAACTTGACTCTCCGATTCTTCAATCCAAGCCGCAATCTATTAACCCACTGTGCCTCTTCAGGCCAGAAGAGTTGGATTCATGCCTTTCCCAAGGATATTAGTATATAAGTGAATGTAATGGACACGACTGGAATTCGAACTCGGCTCTCTGATTCCTCAATCCGGGCCGCAATGCATAACTCCACCGTGCCTACAAAAACCTCGATCAAACTAAAAAATGTCTGGCTTATAAAAATTCGTTAGTAATTTTAGTTTTTATATAAAACTTGTTATACAGTTTCCCGGTTTTCGGACGTTGATCATTAATGAAATAAGCCAACTTTTTAAGAGCCGCGAAAAAATTATTAAAGTGATATGGTAAATAAAGTTTATCTTTGTGCTTTTCAATGGTTGAAATTGAATCTCAGACGATTTTTGAAATCGTCTAATAATTTTATTGAGCTTCGTTATAGTAAATTGGATTTATTATTCGACAGATCTCCGCGTTTCGAAAATTTGATTCAGTTTTTATGAAAGTTCAAAATGAGCTCAGGTTTTCCAGGGCTTGTGTACGGATCAAAAACACAATTACCTTTGATTCACTGGGGGAAAATCCGGGGTCGTTCCTACACCCAAATATGTAATCATCCATTTGCCTAATTTAAACTCGGATTATTGTCTTTTTTCTTTCTTTTTTTTTTTTTTACCAATAAACTCTTTAATCCGCTATTGTGAATTTGGTGGTATAGTAATTGTGAGTTCAATCCCTATGCAGAGTAAGCAGAATGGAACAAAACGAGATTTCCCGATTGATGGTGAGCGAGACGAGAACAATCTACCCCCATATAATAAATGAAGGGTTCACTTGGAGATTTTCTGAAGGATACTTGGATCGTCAAATACCGGCCGGACAGTACGGACAGCAAAATCATCGAAATGTTGATAAGAACAACAAAAAAGAAAATATAAACATCAGTCTACTATAAATAATACAATGTCAGCGACGTATTTATTCGTACACCCATCAATTTTGAATATTTTTACCCATTTTTCAGAATCTAATGCCCGTATGAGGCCAGGTTTTTTATATGTTATTAAGCATGAAAAAGGAATATAAAACTCAGTTTTCAGAACAATAGGTTAAACACAATAAATTTGACAGGAAAATTATGCAAAATAGGAAAAGACAAAATTATTCGTAGTAGAAAATATCGTTTTAAATTGATTGATTCGTGTAAATATAAGTAATTTACGTAATTATTTTATCGACGAAGCTTTCAAGACTCTTTATTCAGTAGAATATTTGTGATAATTCTAGCAAAGAACATCACGTGGTTCAGAGAGTGCCACCATTGTTATTCTTACGTTAACAAGAGGATGAGGAAAACAAAGGAGCCTGTTCTACAAAGTAAACATTCTTGAGAAAAAGTTGCCTGCTTAAAACTTGCATTGGGAACAGGAAGTTAATTAGGGTTTTAGACGGCGTGAGAGAAGCATATCTTGACCTAGCTAAAAAGGTCTGATCTGGTGGGATCAGAATGAAGCTTATCTAAACATTTGTCATAGAAATAGCGATAAAAACATGATTGTGGTGTTGCATTTTCGGAAAAGAGGCTGTAAGGGAAAAAGATGGCGTAAAGCATTTTGAAATCTAATCTAGTAAGTCTTCGAAGTGATAATTTTGTAGCTCTGTTATATACCGTACCTATGAACACTAATCTCCCAATCCTCATAAATACGTTGGAACCTATTGTAAGTGCTATTAATATGGTGTCTAAGTAGTCCACCACTAGCAGTGGTTTACCTACTTCACGCTGCTGGCGAGTATTGTATTTTATTGATGTTATAAAGATTACCATTTCATTTGCAACCTCCGTTTTGGTTATTCCTCTTTCCGTAATCTTTCCTAGGTTACAACAATCTCCAGTCCAGATATGGCAGCAGCAGTCTATTTGGTGGTCGAATCTGACTCTCGTGATAACAAAGCGCGGCAGGTGGAGATAGATCTTTCCGGAATTGAGAGAATGAACCGATCACTTTTCCAGCAAATTGGCCTGGAGTGAACTTGGGATGCAAAAGACGTTCAAAGCAAGGAGTCACATTGAGAATGAACTGTGACTGAAAGCGGACCAGGATCTGATCAGTGGTGATGAAAAGATGTTTTTGAGGTGCTGAGTTGAATATCCAAACCAGTTTTCCCCTAGTGAGCTGTTCAAGCTAGATCGGAAGAGAGATCAGTCTTTTCCCAAACAGCGTTTCTAATCAACTTTTGAATCTATACCTATGTCATCCATTTTTCCTAGGGTGTATATCAATCTTTGTAACCTACAGGAAATTCCGAACTGGGCCTTTATTCCCTTCTCGTAGATACTGTTCTCGTTCGACTGCTCATGTCTCCGGATATTTTCTTATTTTGTATAGAACCTTTCAGTTGTTGCTCGTCTGTTTTCCAATGAGTTCAAATGCACAATGCCAGACCTACTATGTCACCAAATTTGCACATCAACGCTTTTACACACTAGGCCGAAGGGCTATTCTCTGATGTAAACATAAAGATTTAAACCTAAACTTTACTGCTGATTAACCTTCCGCTCCTGTTGCTGCTGTTGTTGCTGCTGTCGTTGCTGCTGTTGGCTGTCATGTTCTGACTGCTGTGTATGTTTTTGATTACTACTGCTGCTATTGAAGACTTGGTATCATTTGCCTATCTTTCTTTATTAGCGGTTCCCACATTGAATAAAAATCTACTTTGGGTTCACTAAGGGCACCCTCATGCCCAACCATAAGCGTTGATTCTTTCAGACGTTTAACTCTCCATTGTTCTTCCCTGTCCAGTATTTTCCCATCATTCCACAGTGTCTGATGACCACCCATTCCCTTCGTACATGGCCGATTTCATTGTCTCACCCCTCACTAATACTTGTCGATATTCCTCCGGACTTTTTCAGGGTACGGCTTGTTTAATCTTTATATTCTCTGACACAGCTGCAAGGAAACGAATACACGCGTTGATTTGTGAATTTGGTGATAAAGGAGTGGTGAGTTCAATCCCTGATCGGGACGTGTGTAAATGTACTCAGTGGAAACGGGCGAGCAATGCTAAATAATGTAAGAACTAAACGACATTCCTAGACATGAGCAGTGGCATAGTAGGTCAGACTGTGTGCGCTTGCCCTCAATGGAAACGGACGGGCAATAAGTGAAAGGTCATAATTAAAGAACATCTCCCTAGACATGGAACGACGTGGAACGTGGAACGAGAAGAGTATCAACGAGAATTAATTAAAGCGTTCACTTCGGAATTCCATGTAAGTTACCAAAATCGATATACACCTGAGGATGACCGGAGATATGAGAGATCAACTCTGGTCAGGCTCTGGATAGGTAGATATTTTGGAGATGAAATCATACACTGTGGTATCATAAGATTTTGAGAACCGCTTGCATTAATAAAACAAATTTAATCTAGAAGCATTCGTCGGTCTTCAACGAAATCTGAATAAGTAAATGACAGTCAGTTGTGTGCCATGCTTAATACACGCTTATGCGATTATGTATCTTTTGATACATGACTGACGAGGCAGATTTTATCCGCAGTAAGTTGCCATTTCTTTCTGCAGAAAACCAGTTGCCATCCAAGGTTATAGAACCCGGCCTGTGCTGCTATTTAC